TGTTGGAGTTTCATGGGGGCCTAAGACCTGAAAGAAGAACCTTCCCCCAGGAGCTTAGGATGGTCTCTCGTTCAAAACAGCACTGGCAGCCCAGACTTCTACTACGCAAAACTGTCCCCACTCGCATACAGGTTCCAAGAGGGCAGGGATCTTTCTCTGTTTTGTTCAGTGATATGTCCCAAATGCCTGGAACGGTGCCTGGCCCATGCCGGTTCTAGGTGCAGAAAGACCATAGTCTCAATTGTAATAGCTGTGAGAACTGTACATGTGTTGGTTAGTGATGGCTATATAACAAATTATCGCAAAGTGTAATGGCTTCAAACAACATTCGTTATCTTGGTTTCTCTAGGTCAGCAGTCAGGATGCAGCTCAGAGGGGTCCTCTGCCTCAGAGGTGGCTCGCAGAGCTGTGAAGTGTCAGCCGGGGCTGCAATCGTCTGGAGAAGCATGTGCTTTTTTTTTTTTAAGATTTTATTTATTTATTTGACAGAGAAAGACACAGCGGGAACACAGAGAGGGAACACAAGCAGGGGGAGTGGGAGAGGGAGAAGCAGGCTCTCCGCCGAGCAGGGAGCCCAATGCAGGGCTCGATCCCAGGATCCTGGGATCATGACCTGAGCCAAAGGCAGATGCTTAACGACTGAGCCACCCAGGCGCCCCGAGAAGCATCTGCTTCTGAGCTCACTCGTGAGGCTGTCAGCAGGATTGAGTTCCTCGCCGGCTGGAGGCTACCCTCAGTTCCTTCCACACAGGCCTCTTCACAGGGCAGCTCACAAGATGTAAGCTTGCTTCGTCATGGGAAGCAAGAGGAGAGAACGAACAAGACCATCCCAATCTCTTATACCTTAACCCCAGAAACGGCATCCTGTCACCTCTGCTGAGGTGTTAGAAGCAAGTCTGTAGGTCTAGTGCACACTCAGGGGAAGCAGATGGTACCGGGAACGACTGGCTTCGGGCAGGACCCCTGCACGCCATCGAGAGCCTGCCTATTCCCAGACATCCACGTGTGTTCTCATCTAGCATCCGGCTCACATGAAAGCCCAGAGCAGGCACAGACCAAATGCCTACAGGTCAAGCAGAGGATGAGGGAAGAAATTAGCAGTGGGAGTTTTGCTGCTCATCCTGCCAAGCAGGAATGGAGGCTGACCATCTAATATCTAAACTCCAAAGTTTAGATATTCTAAACTTTCAAAAGAAGTCAAATCCAGGGGCGCCTGGGTGGCTCAGTCGTTAAGCGTCTGCCTTCAGCTCAGGTCATGATCCCAGGGTCCTGGGATAGAGTCCCACATCGGGCTCCCTGCTCTGCAGGAAGCCTGCTTCTCCCTCTCCCACTTCCCCTGCTTGTGTTCCCTCTCTCGCTGTGTCTCTCTCTGTCAAATAAATTTAAAAAAAAACCTTTAAAAAAAATTTAAAAAAAAGAAGTCAAATCCAGATTTTTGAGAGCCATTTCCTGATTTGATTTTATTTTTTTTAAAGATTTATTTATTTGACAGAGAGAGACACAGCAAGAGAGGGAACACAAGTGAGGGAGAGGGAGAAGCAGGCTTCCCGCTGAGAAGGGAGCCCGATGCAGGGCTCAATCCCAGGACCCTGGGATCATGACCCGAGCCGAAGGCAGACACTTAACGACTGAGCCACCCAGGCGCCCCAACATTTCCTGATTTTAAAACTGATAATCTAGTCAGGGTACCAGTGAGTTAAAGCATCTGTCTTTGACTCAGGTCATGATCCCAGGATCCTGGGATTGAGCCCTGCATTGGGCTCTCTGCTCCGTGAGGAGCCTGCTTCTCCCTCTCCAGCTCCCCCTGCTTGTACCCTCTTTCTCTCTCAGATAAATAAAATCTTTTAAATAAATAAATACTGATAATCTAGCAAAAATACACGAGGCTTAGGAGTGTTGGACTCCGCTCTATGGCAGAAAGAACCTAAACTATCCTACCACCTTTGTATGTGTGTTCCACCTCTCCTGCACCCCTCCCGCTCCCCACAATATTCACAAGGGCTGGGACTAAGCAAATTCACTTTGGATACTTTCTGTAGCTCTTCGCATGTAGCAGCCGATAATAAATATTGTCAAATGAAATATGAAATTGCTGACATGTACCTCTTGAGGGAGCATCCCCACGCCCCCCCAATTCTAGAGGAGTGGTTAAAAGTGGGCTCTGCTGTCTGAACAGACTAGAATCCTGGCTCTGTCCCTTGCCTGTTGTGTGACCTTCAGCAAGTAACTAACTTTTCAGAGTTCAGCTTCTTCATCTGTAAAGCGAGAATAACCATACCTGCTTGGGAGTTGTTATAAGCGTTAAGTGAACCAATACACTTCTTACACCACTGCAACCCAAGAGCTATTCTTACTGGCTCCCCGGCACCTCTCCCCTTAATCCGTTCCCTACCACCCTCCTCCACTACCCACCCACTGGCAGTCGGGGAGAGCCTCGGAAAAGCACATCTGTCTCTTTCACTGCCAGGCTTTACAACCTCCAACAGTTTGCGGCTGCCCTGGGCAGGAGAAAATCCCAAACTCCTTAACACAGCTTCTCAAGGCTCTTTTGGAGCTCTGCCCGCCCAACCCCCAAGTCTCATCTCTCACCACCACCTCCTTTCACACTCGGCACTCCAGGCACACTGAAGCTGTTTCTTGAACGCGACACACTTTCTGCCACTTCAAAGCCTTTGCAAGTACTATTCCCTCCAGCTGGAACCTCTTCTCTCCGCTCCTACCACCCCTCCTAGATGTTCCCGCTAGGCACTATCAGAATTTTTGATGTTCCTTGCTAAACCCGAGGGCAGGCACAGTATCTTTCTCACCACTCCCCTCTCCCTACCAAGAGGCCGCCGGCCCCCAAAGGGCAAATAGGCCTTTGTGGAACTGCCCGCCGCCCTGCCGAGCCTGTGAGCACACAGCGCCACCTGTTGACCCAAGCTTGCACTTCAGTACCTAGAAAGGAGCCTTCACTTTCTGCCTGCCGCTAAGGTCAGAGCACTCGGCTTTGTTTCCCAGGGTCTGGGCGCCTGGGTGGCTGTCGTTGGGCGTCTGCCTTCGGTTCAGGTCGTGTTCCCAGGGTCCTGGGATCGAGCCCCGCATTGGGCTCCCTGCTTCGTAGGAGGCCTGCTTCTCCCCTTCCCACTCCCCTGCTTATGTTCCCTCTCTGTGTCTCTGTCAAATAAATAAAATCTTAAAAAAAAAAGTTTCCCAGGGTTTATCCCGTGTCCTCACACCAAACTCAGCAATAACAATCAAACAAACAAGCTAACATTATCAAGCACTTAACCTGACAGAGATAGGCACTTTCCTAAGTGTTGCAGTTATTAACAGTTTCATTTTCACACCACTCAATCAAGGAGGCAGGTACCACTACTACCATGTTATGGATGGGGTCACTGAGGCACTTGGCAGGTAAATGCCTCACCCATGATCACACAGCTAGAAAGTTCCACCCCAGGCGGTCTGGCTTGGGCAGTTTGTTTGTTTGTTTTTTAACAGAGGGAGAGAGAGGTAGAGGGAGGGACACAGGGAGAGGGAGAATCTTAAGCAGACTCCACGCCCACCCTGCACAGTGCCCAAGGCAGGGCTTGACCTCACAGGCCTGAGATCATGCCTGAGGCAAAGTCGAGAGTCGGATGCTCAAACGACTGAGCCACCCCGGAGCCCCTGGGCCTGCCCTTTTAAGCCCCAAACTCGCTGCCGCTAGTGCTTCCTTTACTCCATGCCCAGTGACCTGGTGAGGTTCCATCCCCAATACCCACCTTTCTCTGTTACAAAGGCACTGCCACAGTGGCATTGACGTCAACCAAAATCTCACCTGGAGGGAGCGAGCCACACATTCTGGAAGCTGCATAGCTCTCCAGGACACTCAGGAATTCAAAGGCAGCGGTCTCCTCGAGAAGGCAAGAATGTTAGTCAGCCCCCACTCCTCTCGTGAGACCTCCAACAAGCAACCAGCGCTCCGGGCCTCCCCTGCCTAATAGGGCCCCTGAGCCCAGCTGAGTGGGTTAGATCAGGTATTTTCCCCCACTGAGGTGTTTTATCTGCATGCATTACATCCCTAGAAGAACAATCTCAGGATTTTCCCTCCTGTGTGTTTTTGTCTTGTTTCTTCACGGGCCATGATGCAAACTGAGGCTGTCAGTACAATGAAACCAAACTGGCAGGAGGGGAGCAGATTACTGACATTTTTCTAGATCTTTGAGCTGTCCATCAAATCTGGGGCTCATTACTCCACACTTGTTTAACCTGCCCCTGAGGTTGACCACAAGTTTCCTGGCTCTATGATCATCAATGATTTCAGATTCGCCAAGGTAACCATGCTTCACCATCACAGAAACCGGATGACTCTGGAGCACGGCCTAATAAGAACCTGGCGTTTGTCTCTCTTTTCCGCATCGTTAATGCTCTTGCGAACATCTGCCAGGACATTCGTGTGCACCATTATGGCGGCACGGAAAGATGGTGGAAAGAGCCAGACCGGATGTTGTATGAAGGGTGAGGAGCGCCATCCCTGATTCAGGCAAACCGTGAATGACAGTGGTTTTCACTCAGTCCCCTCCCTGGATCACTCACATCACACATGAACCTGGTCCCCTCACGTGTTTGGATATTGCCACTTAGAACCCAGGGGTTGGCTACTTCCTTCTCAAATCCCATCTCCTGTTCACTCGTTCCTCTAAATACTCCTTTATATCTGGAAAAATGCCCGCCTGACTCCACTTAAATTTTAGGTTGTCATGTATACAGCTTGTATCTATTGAGCACTTCCTACGTCCCAGTCATTACTCTAAATGCTGGACACATATTAAACCATTTAAACCTCGCCACGGCCCTATGATTAGTCCATTTTACAGATGAGGAAGCTAAAGCACAGTGAAGTGACATGTTCAGGGTCATACAGCAAGAGGCTGACTTGGGATACAACCCAGAACATCGCACCAGTCTGTGCTTTTCAACACCACGAGACTCCCTCTGCTGGTAGAGGCTGTGCCAGCCACACTGCTTTACGTGTAGTAGGTGTCAAGAAACCTGTTTTAATATACATATATATACACACACACACACACACATACACGTACATACACAGTCACATCGCAGTGTGACAAATACCCCTTCTTCAACCAGGAAAGTAGCTCTACCATATCCTGGGCTCCTGGAGGCTCTCCCGAGGGAGAGCCGAGGCCCAGCAGTCTTCACAGATGACACCCAATGGGGGCACTTTTATTAGACAAGTGGGAAGGGGCAGGGCGCACCTTGGGGTGTATACTGTCTGGGGCCTCACACGGGCCCAGAACTCTGCTGCACCCTCTTCATCAGCTCTTCATCCTGCATAGACAACTCTGTCAACTTCTTGCCCATCCGCTCATGGATGTCAAGGTACTTGGAGACACAGCGGTCCAGGCACACAGATTCGCCCTTGGACAGTTCTGCTTCCTTGTAGTGAGGAGGCACGCACTTCCGGTGACAGGCACTGGTCATTCTGGGGGGGGGGGCGGGGAAGGAAGGGTAAGGTCAGGTCAGCAGCATCCTGAGGCATACAAGGAACTCTCCATCATTCCTGCCCTGCTATGCTGACTTCATCTCCCAGGAAGGCAGTGTAAACCCTCAGTTTGCATTTCAACCATCTTAGGAGGTCCTTGAGAGTGCTCACCTGATCTGAGCCCATGTTTATTTAAATAGGAACCATTAGTTGAGTACTGGCTATGTTCCAGGCATCATGCTAAGTGCTTGACACAGCTTGTCATGCAGTCCGTACAATAACCCTATAAGGTAGGCACAATCATTATCCCCATTTTACAGATAAAGAAATTAAGGCATGGAGAGCCTCAGGATCATGTAAAGCTGGGATATAAACCCACGGAGTCTGATCTCGCAGCCTGTATTTTAAAATTATTTAAAAATATTTGGAAGTATTCTAATATATAGCCTCCAAGATAAACCATCAAGGGAAAATACCAGGGGGCTTAAGCCAATAAAAACAGCAAACATGTGTGGACTACTTACTGTGTACTGGGCTTGATACTAAGAGCTTGTCATACGTTTCTACATTTAACATCTATAGTATCTCCACAAGGTAGATACCATTATTATCTCCATTTTATTTATTTTTAAAAAGATTTATTATTTATTTGAGAGAGAGAGAGAAAGCATGTGCACGGGCATGAGTGTGCGGGCGAAAAGGGAAGCAGCAGAGGGAGAAGCTCAAGAAAGCTCCCTGCTGAGGACAGAACCCAATGTGGGGCTTGATCCTGTGACCCTCAGATCACAACATGCACTGAAATCAAGAGTGAGATGCTCAACAGACTGAGCCAACCGGGCGCCCCTACCTCCATTTTATAGAGGGGAAAACCACCAATCAAACAGTCCAAGTAACTTGCCCCAGGTCAAACTAGTAGTGATTGGTGCAGTTACAATTTGTTCCCAAATCTGCCAAATGGTTGTGGGCACTAGTTTGGAGTTGGACTGAGGTACTGGTCCTGACATTGCTACTGACCAGCTGTGAGCCCTGAGAAAGTTATTTAACCTCTAGACGCCTCAATGTCTTCACCTTAGAATGGGACAACTAAAATTGACCCAGTGGATCATTTTGAAGCTTAAAAAGAATTAAGGCATGTAAACTGCTCAGCATGTGCCTGTGATGGAGTAAGAGTTCAAGAAATGTTAACCACAGGGGCACCTGGGTGACTCAGTCGTTAAGCATCTGCCTTTGGCTCAGGTCACGATCCCAGGGTCCTGGGTTCGAGCCCCGCATCGGGCTCCCTGCTCCGTGGGAAGCCTGCTTCTCCCTCTCCCGCTCCCCCTGCTTGTGTTCCCTCTCTCGCTGTCTCTCTCTCTGTCAAATGAATAAATAAAATTAAAAAAAAAAAGAAAGAAAGAAATGTTAACCACTAAGTAGGCTATGTTCTGTTTGTCACAAAGGCAAACGCTCAACTGTTCCTGGAACCCGACCAGAGCTTGGACTGGTGCTTCTCTTCCTGCTCAGCTACTGGCTCGATAACTGCATCCCAATCTAGATGTCCAGCTCGTTCTAGTGACCCCATACCGCCTCTGCGTTAGCCCTCAACCATGAGGAGTGTAGGTGGGGGTGGGTACCCTCCAAAGGCACCCTGAGAAAGGGTGACCTAGGATCATTCTCAAAGACAAGGGAGCGCACTGTCCGCCCTTACCTGTTGTACATATCAGCCATCATCTCTACCTCCAGCTCCGCAGCCAGCTGCTGGGCCCTGAGCGGATCCATCTCAGCCCTGCACCGTGGAAGAGATCTCCTTCTGGCCTCCTAGTCCTGGGAGCAGACATCACCGTCAGCTTCCACCTCTCCCGTTCCGTTTCCCATCCCAGGGAGGGTAGAGGATGCGGAGGATTCACAGGGCATGGGGCTGGCAGGGGTCACTGACCTCAGTGAGCTCAACCACCCCATCTCACAGATGTGGAAACGGAGGCCCAGAAAGGGAACACTGCCTAGCCCAAGGTCACATAGCATGTCAATGGAACGGCTGGAAATCGAGCCCTGGCGCCCCAGTCCCTCGTGGTCGCCCTTACCCAGAAGACGATCTAGAGACCGGAAAGGAACACTAAACGGCGGGCCTGAACCTCCAGGGCCCTGGGAATTCGAAAACACGCGTAGCTAAGGTGCACAACTCCCGATTCAGGGGCTGCACCTCTGAAATGGCGGCGCCATCATCAGGTCACCATGAGGCGAGAGGTCACTTACCACGGCCCGCGGCCAGTCACAATGCCCGCGGTGTCCCCAACTTCAGGCAAACAGTAGAAACTCACCGTGCGACCAGGTAAGATAAGGCGGAAGCACGTGGGTCACTTCCGGGAGGGAAGTCCCGCCTCTTCTTTGATCGGACTCGCTTCCGGAATGAAGTACCAACGAGGCGGCGCTGGGAAATAGGCTACCATAGAGAGGGAGCCGCCGGCCGTGGCTGAAGGCGAAGGCGCCTTGCAAATGCTAGAGAGGACGCCAAAATACCATAGAGGCTTGGGCGGAGTGCAGAGCGCCTGCAGCCTGGCTGTCAAGTCCCTTGGGTTATCGCGGAGAGATCGGAGTTTAACTGTTTTGTAGAAAGGGGCCAGAGGGCACAGCTCGGTGAATCTCGCCCCCAGCCCCGGGGAGTTGACGCCCCAGCAGAAACCCAGGCACGGAGAAGGAAGGACTCCCCTAAAGAGCAGTTCTGTTTGTGCTGCAAATTAAGGTCGCCTGGGACGCTTTAAAATATCCCGATGCCCATACCTCACTTCATACCAATTAAATCAGAACCTCTGGGAGTAGCACCCAGGCATCAGTAAATGTTTCAGTGCCTTAGGTGATTTCTTTGTGCAGCCAAGTTTGAGAGCCAGTTCTCCAAGGGACTGTGGGAATACAGCTGCATGTAGGTCCTAAGTTTTCCCTGGGGTTGCAGAGAAGCGAGGCACGGTTCCTGCTCACAGAAAAACGAGACATGTATACAGTCTGTTTTATGCAACTTCTTCTGTTGGACGCCCTGGACCATAACGAGATGAATAGGAGCGATTTTGGCTCCTATTCATGAGAGCTAACCTAGTGTATTTGAGCGAGGGAGGGGGAAAGTACTTGTGAACTCTTCATCTTTCCAGACTTCATGTGTTCCTCGATCTGCACCCCTACACCACAAAAACCCACCCCAATCCTTTGATTTTTCAAGGCATTTCCCAGTAAACGAAGTTTAGAAGATGCAAATTAATGGTGCAAGCATACACTGCCCATTGGCGAAGGTGGGCTGGTTGGTCACTATATGCTTCCCTAATTGCCCAAGAAAGTCAAGGTTTTAAATACTGGCCCTCATTTCTGCTCTAAGAACTCATCTTTCTCAAGCCCTGTGCCCCGATACTTTAAAATTAAGGTAGGGGTGCCTGGGTGGCTCAGTTGGTTAGGCGTGGGACTATTGTTTTCTGTTCAGGTCATGATTTCATCGTGGTGAGAGAGCCCTGCCTTGGCTCCTGGCTCAGTGCAGAATCCCCTTGAGATTCTCTCCCTCTCCCTCCCCCTCTTATAACCACCACTCAGATCAAAATACGATGTATTTCCAACAGCTTCAAAAGTTATCTGGTTCCTTCCCAGTCAATACCCCTGCGCCCAAAGTAACCACTATTCTGACTTCTATTGCCATCAGTTAGTTTTGCCTACTCTTGAACTTCATGTAAATGAAGTTATACATTATTTGCTGGTTTGTGCCTGACTTCTTTAGCTCAGTGTAATGTCTGTAAGATTTCATCCACATTGTTGTGTTTATCTGTCATTCATTCTTTTTTATTGCTGTCTAGTGTTTGTATGAATAAGCCACAATTCATTTATCATTTCACCTGTTGATAGACTTTTGGGTTGTTTCCAGTTTGAGGCTATTATGACAATGCTGCCGTGAATATTACTGTACATATTGGACAATATTGGACATATAATATTATGTAATATTGGACATATAATATTATTGTACATAGTGGACACATGTTGTACTGGTTTTAGCTTGGTTTTTTTTTAAGATTTCATTTATTTGACAGAGAAAGAGAGCAAGAGAGAGAGTACAAGCAGGGGGAGCAGCAAGCAGAGGAAGAAGCAGGCTCCCCTCTGAGCAGGGAGCCCAATGCAGGGCTCAATTCCAGGACCCCAGGATCATGAGCTGAGCTGAAGGCAGACACTTAACTGACTGAGCCAGGCAGGTGCCCCTGGTTTTTGCTTTTGATAATATAGTCAACACATTATGGAATATTAAGAAATTGCGTGGGAAAAGGAGATGGGTTCTTACAAGAATAATCTGCTTCCTTGATGGGATTTTTATTAGGTGTTACAAAAGGTGACACACTGTACGATTCTGTTTAAATAATATTTTCAAGATGACAAAATTATAGGGGCACTTGGGTGGCTCGGTTCGTTGGGCAACTGCCTTCGGCTCAGGTCATGATCCTGGAGTCCCGGGATCGATTCCCCCATCGGACTCTCCACTCAGTGGGGAGTCTGCTTCTCCCTCTGACCCTCTCCCCCTCTCATGCTCTCTCCATCTCATTCTTTCTCTCTCAAATAAATAAACAAAATCTTTTTAGAAAAAAAAAGATGACAAAATCATAGAGACAAAGAAATTAATAGTTGCCTAGCGTTAAAGTTGGGGGGCAGTGTAGGTGTGCCTATAAAGGGGTAGAACAGGGAGATCTTTGTGGTATTGGGATGGTTATGCATCCTGATTGTGGAGGGGTTTATAGGAATCTAAACATGTGGTAAGATGTCATAGACCTATACACACCATTGCTCCAGTGTCAATTTCTTGGCTCTGATATTGCATATAGTTATGTAAGACTTGACTTTCAGTACTCTCTCTGTATTGTTTATGCAACTTCCTGTAAACCTACAATTATTTCAAAATAAAAGTTAAAGCAATCATTACAAAAAAGAAAAACAAACAAAAAATGTATGCACCTAGTCCATGGCAGATGCTCAGTAAAAAGAAGTCATTGTTCTCATTCCTTTTAATTTTTAGACTTTTATTAGAGTAAATGTGAAACATACAGAAAAGTGGAGAGCACAGTATATTGAACTTCCACATACCCGTCACCAGACTTTAACAGTTGTTAACATTTAGCCATGTTTTCTTCATCCATTTTGACCTCACAGATAAAGTCCTTTTCCACAGTGCCATTCTCATACTCTCAAAATTATAGTCATTTTTTAAAAGATTTTATTTATTTGAAAGAGAGACACAGTGAGAGAGGGAACACAAGCAGGGGGAGTGGGAGAGGAAGAAGCAGGCCTCCCACGGAGCAGGGAGCCCGATGCGGGGCTCGATCCCAGGACCCCGGGATCATGACCTGAGCCGAAGGCAGACGCTTAACGACTGAGCCACCCAGGCGCCCCAATTATAGTCATTTCTTAATGTAATCTTATGCACATATTCAATTTCCCCCAATTTCTCAAAAATTGCCCCCCAGTAGCTCAGTCGGTTAAGCGTCTGCCTTCGGCTTAGGTCATGATCCTGGGGTACTGGGATCGAGCCCCACATTGGGCTCCCTGCTCAAGAGGCAGTCTACTTCTCCCTCTCTCTTTCCCTCTGCCCCCCATTTGTTCAGGCGTGTGCGCTCTCTCTCTCTCTCAAATAAATAAATAAAATCTTTTTTTTTTAAATAACCCCTTTTGGGGTCCATCTGGCTGGCTCAGTTGGAGGAGCGCGCAACTCTTGATCTTGGAATTGTGAGTTCAAGTCTCATGTTGGGTGTAGAGATTACTTAAAAATAAAATCTTTTTTTAAAAAACGGCCCTTTTTTTTTTTTTTAAAAGATTTTATTTATTTGTTTGACACAGAGAGAGAGAGGGAACACAAGCAGGGGGAGTGGGAAAGGGAGAAACAGGTTTCCTGCGGAGCAGGGAGCCCAATGCAGGGCTCAATCCCAGGACCCTGGAATCATGACCTGAGCCGAAGGCAGACGCTTAACTGACTGAGCCACCCAAGCGCCCCCAAAAATGGCCCTTTTTTATATGGCAAGAACACTTCACATGAGATCTACCCTCTAAGCAAGTTTTTAAGTGCACAATGCTCTTTTGTTAACTGTATGCACAATGTTGTATAACAGATCTTGGGGACTTACTCATTTTGAACACCTGAGACTTTATACCCATTGAACAACTCCACACTTTTCCCCTCCCCGCAGTGCCTAGCTAATCACTGTTCTTACTGATGATGATATAATGGCTATTATCTACTATGAGACTGTGTCTTTTCTTTCCTATACTTACAGAGTTGGCGATTTGAGAACCCATAAATAGGAATTTCCAATTGTTCCTGTTAAGTTTCTTCTCGTAAAACAAAAACAAAAACAGTTTATACAGCCCCAGCCTTCCAAGATCTCTTTGGAATCCAGATACGTCGTCTAAAGTTGCTGACCTCTGTCAGCACCACCGTGAGGCTCTGGCCTCTCTCTCTACCATGATCCACCCATTCCCAGCCTCCCAGGCTCCAGAAAGGGAGTTGTGTATTTGCTACTCGCCATGGATCAGTACTGTCCTCTTGGATGGTACCTCAACCCCGTAGAAAGGGATGCAGGATTGTCACCCAGAATCTGATATGGGCCCTGACCACTCATAAGAGGAGTAGAGACTATGAAGACGGTCTAGGTGGACTCCCTGGAGAAGAGCAGGAGATGAGAGAGCAAGAATGTCAGTGGCTTGAACGGAAGGGTCATTCTAGTGGTTTGGAGACAAAGCCGGCTCAGCCTTGGTCATTGTTATCCTCAATTACCATTCCTCACCACGTCTCCTCACCACTGTCTTGCATCCGGCTTACGGCGGTAATGTCCTGACTGGTTTCCCCACCTCACTTCATGCTCCCCCCTTAGTCTATTCTCAAAACGACAACCAGAATCATCTTGTCAAAAACTAAAGTTAGATCATGTCCCTTCACAACCTGAAATGTTCCACTGGCTTCCAATCAAAGAGCAAAAGCCAACATCCTGACAGGGGCCTCTAAGCCCCACAGGATTGCCCCCGCCATGACCTTCTGTTAACTTATTTATTTATTCCATATATATGTATGGAGCACCTCATGTGAACCATGCAATCAGGTAGGCCCTGGCCACATAGCCATGGGCATGGGAGATAAAGTCTCTGCCTTCGGGGATCTTAGAGTCCAGTGAGAGTCAGATAATAAGGAAATGAATAAGCTCACTTTGGACTCCAGTAAATATTATGAAGAAAATAAACCAGGACGAAATGATGGAGAGGGACTGAAGCCACACAGCCCTGAGTGTGGAAAGGGATTGATTTATTTCAGAAGCAGGAAGGAGGCCAGTGTGGCTGAGGTGGAAGGAACGGGGGAGGTGGTTGCGGGGAGTCCCAGGCT